GGTCAGAGGAGGTAGAAAGGGAGAGCTGTAGTTGTCAGGAGAAAATGAGTGTTGAGGTGGCAGCAGGGCCCTGAGTGTGGAGGTGAACTGGAGGTGTTGCCTCGTCTGCAGCTGGATCCACCAAAGGGCTTCAAGTGGAAAAGTGGCAGGGACGCAAAGATATACCTGTCAGTCCACGGGCAGGGGAGATGGTCTCAGCGTAGCTGTTGGAGGTCTTGGGATTTTGTCCTTTGCTTTAGATACTGGTTTGCTAACAGCTGTGTGCAGCTGCTCCACGCAGTCTGGCAAAGGCGTGTGCTGGAGTGTCTGTGTGTCTGTGTCGGTGTGTCTGCAGGTGCGGACATTCATCTGCTTGTGGCCATCTAGTGGACATTCAGCTTGTGCTGCTTTGGGCTGGGACTGGCTTGTGCTCCATAAGGCTTGTTCTTTGAAAGACCCCTGTTGAAATGCTGTTTCTAAGGCAGTATGAACGATTTGGTGAAGCAAAAATTCACCGTCATCTAGCCTGGAATTTTTCTTTAATAGACGAAGCATGCTTGCGCAGGGAAAATAACATTTTTTAATATTAGGAAGACAAAAAATCCAATACAAATTCTCTTGTCTGTGTATACTAGCTTGGAAAGTAGCAGCCAAGAAAATGAGTGTAACCAGTGGAAAATTTTAGGTTGAAACAATACACCAAAACACCATAGATGCTTTAAAATACCCCTTTGCTAATTCAGATTCCTGTGTCATGGCCAACCGCAGAGAGATTTCTCTCTTTAGCAGACAGTGTTTCAGGCACTGATTAGGTAAACAAACTAACAAATATAATGAATGCGGATAACAAGGACACATTGAGTCTCACGTCCCTTTGCAAAATGAGAGATTCCTCCTCCTACAATTGGCTCTTCTGCATCATCAATAATCTGAAGAAGTGTCAGTCGTCATTTGTGATTCAGAGGAGGAAACTGGCAAGGTTGTCCTTGCCAGTCTTGACTCCAAAAGTCCAGCTCTAAAATTCTTGCAGCCCTGTGGTCAAGCACAGAGTGTCTCAACTTTTATTGCTTTGGGCAAAGGGCACTGGAGGTGAGAATTAGATGATGATTAAAGTTAGAAACATTCCCATTTAGAAAGCTTTGCAATACTGCAAGACAAACCTGTCCACTTTACTCTGTTGTCCATTTTTTGAGGAAAAGTTTCCTGGAACAAGCGTCCTGGGTTTTCCAGACGATGTTTGTGTGAAAATAAAGAGCTGTAAAACTTCTTAAGATATAGCACATTGGTCCAAAAGACACCTCTCCACATCAGATTGCGATAGCACATCTGATGTGCTTCACTCCAAAATTAGTCAGGGGGTTTCAAGAATGCCCATGAGGTATGGAAGCACAACCTTTTTACCATACCCTGGGCTGTGCAACAGAGAACCACATGAAAGCAAGCGAGAAGGAAGGTGCACAACCATGTCAATAAAGCATTTCACAAAGCTGAGCCAGTTCACAGAATGGGAAGGGGCAAGAGGAAACGTGGATAAACCTAAACATCGCTTGTAGCAGATCAAATTTTACAGGGTTGGAAGAAGTAAAGCAAAAGTAAAGGAAGAGGCTGAAGAATACCAAAACCACGAGTAAATGTAAGGGTGAAACCTACTCCAGGAGAAGTGAGGTGCCAATAATAAATAACTGCATATTTGGAAGCTGTGGGTGATGTATCAACACAGCTGAAAATACCTCTGAATTACTAAAACCAGTGCATAATTCAGCTCAGAATCAAGGCATGGGAGAATTCTGGTAATGCATCAAGAAATTTGAAGAAAGCAGTGAGATCTCTGAGAAAAAAGTCCCATTGATGGAGCCATCCGAATAAGGATAAAATTGTAAAAATGGGCCACAGGGAACAATTCTGTTGATCTGAAATGGCATGGGAGCTGCCAGTGCCATGCTGGAGGTTTTTTCTCCATGTTCCTTGGGATTGGCTTGTGGTGGAGATGCTGGGCTGGGATCTGATCCCAGCAATATTCCATAAAGAGCACCACTGGTTTCACTCAACTTCATGCATGAGATGAAGATATGGCTCCTGGTATTAAATAGTAAGATGGTCGGTCTTCCCGATTTCTGTTCTGATAGACATTCTGGGATTTCAAACTTTAATTTTTCCTAGTCAAAACTAAGAGGAAATTCCCATTAAATAACAAAAATTGGTTTCAGAAATCTCAGAATAATCTTACTGAGATGTTGATGTAATTTTAATATTCCCATTTGGCTTTAAAGCATAGATTTTGCATGTCTTATGCATCTGAGATTAAAATACAACATTCATAAGAAAGCCATAGATAATTTTGATTACACTTCCACTGGCTGGACGCAGTTTTTTCTGTGTGATTGAATCAGCATTTTTTGATTGAAAATTTTCTACCATCTCTAGTCAAAATTGGGCTGCCAGCTGGCAAAGCTTCTGCTGCCTCCAGTATTTGTGTAACACTGCCATGGAAAAGGGGATGCTTCAGGGCATCCGGTTTAGTAGCAGTGGGCAGGCTGAGACTTGGCCAGGGAGAAGGGAAGAGGAGCGTGAGGCATGGGGGAAGGTGTTTGGGGCATCAAGGCAGTGGGGAGGAGAAAGGGAAAGGTAGTAAAAGCATCAGTGAATAGGCATCTGCTAAAATAAGACTGAGGAGACTTTAAAAAGTTGCCCACTTGGTACTTGGTGGAAAAACCTGTTTGTGAGCTGAGATCCTAAGTGTGTCAGCTGGTGACAAAAACAGCTTTACAGAGGTGAGCCCTGCAAGCCACTCTGGGTGCGTGGAAGGGTGTCACTGAAGCTGCAATCCAAGACAGATTTACAGGCACCAGACTGTGCAGGAATTTCTCTCTGAAACCAGAGAGGACCTCTGCTGTGATGGATCTAACTATACTGGTTTATCCAGGGCAGAAGAGGCAGGATCCCTCTCCTGTCCCAGGTGGGTTAAGCTGCTCCCTCACAGCATGGAATTGTAGGGGGGTGGCTGTCCCACTGCCTGGGTCTGGTGGGTGAGAAAGAACCAAGGAATTTTGGGTTGAAGTTGGAGTGGGAGTGAGCCGTTCCCCTCCAGCTCTTCACTCTGGGCTCTGGGAGTGGGAGGAACCCCTGGAGTGAAAGATCCTGCCAATAACCTGCTGACTGCAGGGCCAAGCAAACCCGTGTTACACACAGGCAGGGAGAAGCAGGCAAAGAGAGGAGGCTGTTCATTCCCAAGGGTCTTTGCTCAGGCACTGGAGGATTTGCAGCCATCCATGGTCCAGAGGTTACCTATTGGCAGTATGAAAGTGTAAATCAGACTGTTTATCATGCAGGTGAGGTGATGTGTGGTGAAGCAGCCTGGCTGTAAAATCCCCTCTGACATGCACAGAGTGTCTTCTGCTGGGAGAAGCTGGGATCACAGCCACTGGGACCACCACCCCACCCAGCTCTCTGCAGGAGCAGGTCAGCTGGGCTCCCAGGAATGGCCAAGGCTGGCTGTCACCACTGTTAGCAAACCACCTTCCCTACCCTGCAGCTCTGTCCCCACCATAGGGCTGCAGTGCTCAGCAGTTCTCTGTGCAAGTAGAAGAGGTGAGCTTACCAGCTGAGAGCAGGGCATCATTCCTTGGCATCAGTCTTACTGTCCCCACGACAGAGCTGGGGGACTGGGACAGACAGCCAGTGCCCCCCTCTGCAGCTTGGGCTCCCTCAAGGAAACAAACAGTGGGGACAAGAGAGGGTTAAGCTGTCAGCTCTGTAATGTTAAACAGGTGTCAAAGGCACCTCCATATATCTGCAGATTGAAATCAAATTCTTTGCAGTATAAAAAGATAAATTACCCAGGCGATTCCCGCCTCATCCCACTCATCAGGCCAGCGCCAGACGGCAAGCAATTTTTTTTTTTTAATGTGCTAACGACCTAATCAAGCAATCAAGTTGGAGAAGATTGCGGAGTGACCCCGAGCATCCATCTGCCAGCGAGACCCTGCCATTCATTTCCATTCTGCCATGTACTTTCTGGGGAAGGGAGGGAAAAAAATAGAAAAGAAAAAAAAATCCTAAACAAATTAACACCCAATTTTCTGTGAGTCTAATTAGTTAAATGAGGAGGTGTTTGGGGTGTCCGCGGGGAGGGAGGGGTTGCCTCTCGGAGAGGGGCCTGGTAACTCCATGGCATTAATTAGCGCAGGTCAATGGCGTGGTTCCCTGGGGACCAGCTGCTTTAATTTCCCGTGATATTTCAGTGCCTGAGGCCCATCGATTCAAACTGAAATTAACTTATTTTTCAATCAGGCCTGGGCTGCCCCTGGGGCTGACTCTTCCTTTGCCTCCTTCTGAATAGACCTCGAGCAATTTTTCATCTAAAGCTGATGGCTCTGCTCGGCGGGAAGGGAGGGGAGCTGGGGAGGGAGGAGGGCGAGGGAGACAAGAGGAATGGAAATCAGAGAGAGAGCACTAATAGATTTCTGCGAGAATCACCCCCTCCCCGCCATTGCCGCCCGCCTCTGCTCGCTGGCCCCCAGGTCACAGCTCAGAGATTATTCTGCCAATTTTCTGAGAAGATGAGGGGCTCTTCAAACTGGGAATTCAGGGCAAAGCGCACAGATCAGCTTCCCCCTTCTCTTGCTTCTCCCCATCATCCGCCCCCATCCAAGCCCTCCCTGCAGGCACCACTGCCTGCAGCTCTGTGCTGCTGCTCAGACACCCAGTAAATAATAAAAGAAAATCCCAGGCACAAGAGCCAAAAGCCACTAGAAAAAGATGCTGCAATGGCAAATTAATTACATCCTGCGGAGAGGGGTGGGACCTGTTTTCACACTGGCCCTTGCCGCTCCTGCGAGGGAAGGAGGGAGAGATACCTGGTGTCTACTGCATAGGAAAAGAGGTTGTAGTGCCTTCAGGATGAGCATCCACACATCTGCCTTCATCCTGCTGCACAAACGTGTGTGTTCCCCTGTGGGAAAGGGACTGATATGCTGTCTCCCTGCAAGAAACCCCATGTCCCTCCTTGTTGCTTGCTCCAGGTTTGGTTCCAGAACCGCCGGGCCAAGTGGCGGAAGAGGGAGAAATGCTGGGGCAGGAGCAGTGTGATGGCTGAGTACGGGCTCTACGGTGCCATGGTGCGTCACTCCATCCCACTGCCTGAGTCCATTCTCAAGTCTGCCAAGGATGGCATCATGGAGTCCTGTGCCCCTTGGCTCCTGGGTAAGAGAGCAGCTGCCTTCATGGGTGATGATGAGTGGGTAGAGACAAAGAGGGGGAAGCAAGGAAGAAATAAAAGTCATGTTGAAAATGGGTGAAAGGCAGCAAGGTGAGGCTCTCCCTGTCCTGCCTCACTGAATGCCCCCTGTCCCCCAGTGACCCTCGTCAATAGGATTTGACTGCTCATCCCAAATTCCTGCAGGACCTGGGACCCTGACCTGCAGAATCTGGTTGGGACAGGAATTTTCCCCCATGCTCAGGCTAATGTTAGCCTTCAGTTCCCATGACTAAAGCATCCTTCATGCTCAGCCCTGGAGCAAAGACTCTAACCCTTATCCAGGGCAGGAGGTCATCCCAGGCCCACTTCTCCAGCCCTGTGATGCTGTGTGGGGTGTCAGGACCCCCAAATGCACTGTCCTTGCCCCAGGTCCCAGAGGGAACACTCTGCTGCCTCCTCCTGCTCTTGACGCCTGGGGGAGCTCCATTTCTGTCTGGTTTCACTTGGTTTTCTGTGCAGACCTGGAGGTAGCAGCTACCCTACCACACTCCTGCTCTTTGCTTCCCTCTTTCTGACCTCCCAGGCTGGTTCTGCCCCAAAACTACTGTCTGGCATCTTGAGGAGGGGCTGTCCTGTCATTCTATGTGTGTGAAACTGAGAGAGGCAGAGGGGTGGTTGTGTGGAGTGGGTTGATACAGAAATAGGCAATAGGGATCTCCCTCCCCAGCCTCAGTAAATCTCAGGCAACTGTGCTGCTGTCTGAGACCCTCATTCCCATGTAGGGACAAGTTAGCTTTAAGTTCACTAACAGAAATAAAGAGGAGAGTAATTATAGACCTTTGGGGGCAGCCCCGAGTCCACAGATGCCAGGCTACCCCAGCAGGCAGCTGCCTTGCCTGGGCTGCCCTCGCACGGGGGCTGGAGCAAGTGGCTCCCCGTGACTGCTGTATGAAGCGAGGGTTTCTGCTTTTCCTTAATTCTGGCCTCTCTTTATCTTTGCTGTTTTCAGTTCAAGATGGCTTTCCCATGCCCAGGCGCTTTTCTAAACCCGAATACCAACAATTCTTTTTAGGGATGCACAAAAAGTCTCTGGAAGCAGCGGCTGAGGCGGGGAGGAAGACAGAGGTGGAGCGCCAGGCCCTGCCCAAGCTTGACAAAGGTGACAAGGAAGAGAGGGGTCCGGATCCCAAAACCACCATTTCCCAGGAGGAACTGAGAGAAAACAGCATTGCCGCCCTCAGGGCCAAAGCTCAGGAGCACAGCACCAAAGTCCTGGGGACCATTGCTGGGGACACCCCAGCCCCAGGCAGGAAGACGGAGACAGGGGAGGAGGTGGCAGTAGCAGAGGATGAGAGACAGACGGAGAAGCTGAACTCATCGCAGAAGGAGGAGAAGCTGATCTAGGGCGAAGAGAGGTGGTGGAAGCCAACCCCGACAGACACTGTGTCCTCTGGGGACCACGTTCCTACTCAGACTGTCAGGCTTCCCTGGTCACCCCTGCCAGGGAAGAGGGCCCTGGTCTCTGTGTTTGGGGCTGCCTGGCAGGGGTGCCCATTGCCTGCTCCCCTTGAGCATACCCCTGCCCCTCACTCCTCTGCCCCACCAGGCCCTCCTTACCCTCCACCCCTTCCTTTTGGGGGACACACATCATCATTGCCACCCAAGAGGACACCAAGGCTCTGGTCCCTTCAGCCTCTTGACTGCCTCTGGGGCTTTTTCCTGCTGCTGCAGCCCCAAAACCCATCTACCGTCCTGAAGCAAGCCTGTGCTCTGCTGCCATGCCCCTCCTTGGTGCACTTCTCTCCCCAGTGCTGCCTAGGTCCCTTCCTGTTGTGCCCTATTCTACCATGCCCCAAGCAGACCCACCACCTTCCCCTGGCCGTCACCTCTGCTTCTGTCCCAGGCCACAGCAGGACAAGCCCATGGCAGTGTTTGCGTGAAATGATGACTATTCATGCAGGGTAGTTTGCACCTTCTGCCCATCTCTCCCTGCCCAGCTCTGAGGTCTGCTGGGAAGGGGCTGCAACTTTAGGGCGGTTATGTTTTACCATTGTTTGGCAAGGAGAGGCAGGTTTAGCCCACAGGCACAACACCCTGGTCCCACCTGGCAACTCGAGGTGACCCCAGCCCACGTTGCTGGCTCCTGCAGTGCTGGACAGTTGGGTCCGATTCTGCCCCAAATGCCAAAGCCCTGCACCCTTGCAGAGAGGCCAGATGGTTAAATTATTTACTGAATACATTATTGCAGGTGAGACAACAACATCCACCTAATGTATTTATTGACTTAAATTTGTCCAGCTCACACTCTGAGTGTTAAAGGGAATGACAGCCATGCACATTGCTCTGATACACCCACGTGTACATACATGCCATATAAGCACATTCAGACTCACACAGCCAAACCCACTCCATGGTACCATCACCCTTCCATCCCAGTAAGGCACTATTCCCCCTCCAAAAGCTATAGGACAGTGACTTCCAGGTGCCCCTTTCTGTCCTGCTTTCAGCTGTGAGCACCCTTTCCCCACAGTTCTTCTGTCAAATGTTCAGCCCGCTCATCCAACCCCTGTTCGTCTTTGTCCCCCGGTCGTTTGACGTGTTAGATGATAGCCCATGGGGTGTAAATAATGTATATACAGTGAGAAAAGAATTCAGTATTGAGGTGTTTGAGATATGGAGCTGTAACAACTTCTAGTCATCCAGCATCTGTGATTTATGTGCCATTTTCTGTAAAGATATGAACAAGAATAAAACTAAACGGGAATACTGTGTATGAGTCTGGTCACCAATGTTCAAGGAGGGTGAGTTCAGTCAAAGCTGAGAGGGGGTTGGCTGTAGCCAGAGAGGGATGGGAGATCCAAAGCAACATAGAAAAAGGTCTGCACCTTCCTCCCCGCCTAGGCATGGAGAATACAGGGCTTGGGTGCTGCTCTCCCTTGCAGTGAAAGACAAAGTTGAAAGGGGTGTGCTTGTACTCAGCAGAAGTTACAGCGTACAGCTGGTCAGAGAACAAGTCACTTCAGCATCCAGGACAGCCCTGGTGCTTTGGGTCACCCGATATCACATGTTGCCCTGGTGTTAGAGAGTCAGACAGACTTTTGGGCAGGCTCAGCCCCTGTGCCAGGAGCAGGCTGCAGGGCCCAGCTGGCCTGAGGAGCCAAGGCAGCAGCCAAATGCTGCAAGTGCAGGGGAGCTGGTTGGGAGGGAAGGACGCTGACAGGACTTCCAGCAAGGTGAGCTCTGATTTGAGAGCAGTGGGTGCCTATTCTGAATTATCAGATCAGGAGTTGAGACTTGTCTGCCTTGCTAAGGGCATCTGGGGATGGTCAGATGGAAAAACCCGATGTCTTACAGGGAGGGGCAAAATGCGGAAGCAGAGCAGGCATGCATAGTAAACAAGAGACTTGTGGAATGATGAGACTGGTTGGGCTTGACTTTGTGGAGGGACTGTAAGCCCACAGGACTGCCTTTCCCCAGGGGGACAGAACCCTTGTAGGTACCCACCAACCTCGGGGCAGCTCTGATACAAACCAAGTGTATAGTGTGGGATGAGTGTACCTGATGGCAGATAGTTCCTATCCCCCATACTGCTGTCCTACCTGTTCACCAAATATATCAGCTCCACAGATCAAGAGTAGTGTCACACTGTGAAGAGCAAAGAGGAGATCTACTAACCTCTCATGTCTGCTGTTGATCCTCCCATCAGTGTGCCTGACTGAGAACAGCTCTACTTGCAGGGAGAGCCTTTTTCTGCCCCTCTCTTGTGACCCCTAGGAAGGGAGGTGAATCTGGTCAACGAAATTAAGGAAGCCTCCAAACTCTGCCTTAAAAAAACCCTACCTGTGTAGGGTCTGAAGGAAAGGAAAGCAGAAAAAAAGCTGCTTGGAGGCAGGGAAGAAGCATTGCTATGCTATAGTGGGTGGTGGGAGGTTTCAGCGTGAGGAGATGGGCTGCAGTGTTTCATGCCAAACCACCACCTGCTGCTCATTGGGTGCTCGCAGTCCACCTGGTGGTACAGCTGGTCTGTAGTGTTTGGGAGGAGGCAGAGCCCAGCCCAGCTTGATGGAGAGGACAGCTCTGATATCAGCCCAGTGGGAAGGGATGTTACCCTGCAGCTGACAGCCCATCCCAGATAACACAGCCTAGTTCTCTGCAGTAAATGGGTCTTAATTCTGGCAAGGTCCTGTCACAACTAACATGAAGGGAGACCTAACTTTTACAGATGACCTACCCCAAGCTGCCTTTGTGGCCAGCAGGGGACTAGGGGGCTGCAGCGGGAGAAGTGTGGGGAGTCAGGGGATGGGGATGAGGAGAGGGAGATGTGAGGGTGGTGAGCAGGAATCAAGCAGAGGAGTCTGGGGAGGCAGAGCAGCCTTGGGAGAGCAGGAGTAGCAGCAGGCTGTTAGAGCCTGGCCCAGGCACCTTGGCCCCTGAGGGGAGCCCAGGCACAAGCTGAACCTGGCTCTTGTTCAAGAGTGGCTGGCTGTCAGGACTCAAATTAGCATGGAGGTTATTTTCAGTCAAATATTTCTACAGCCCACCCCTTTCCCCTCCCTCAAAGAGATTGAATTTCTTTTTTCCCATAGTGCTCTGGAAGAGAGGAGGAGAGGAACAAGGCAGGGGAGAAAGGCTCCCTGTGCTGGAGGGCTTCTTTGTGTCCAGTTAGCCCAGGACGACGTAGCCCCAGATTGCACAGGGGCCTGGGTTTTGCTTGGCCGAGTGTTCTGAGCAGCTGGAAGGGCTTCAGGTACCCATCTCCTTGGTGAGAGGCAGGTACCCTGCAGTGATGGCCAGGCTGCTGGCCAGCACTTGCTGCTCCAAAGCTCTTTCTCAGGTTCCCAGATGCCCACTTGGGTTGGTGGCTGCCCGAGCCTGGAGCCATGGACCCCTCACTGCCTACATGCCCGAAGCCATCACCTTCTCCAGACCCAAGGACCACCAAGACTTGTACAAGGTTTCAGTGGATCAAGGGGATGACTTCTGGGGAGCGCTAGGAAGGAGCCGGCTCACCTGGATCACCCCCTTCCACTCCGTTCAGGACTGCGATCTGCACCAGGGCAGGGTCTCCTGGTTCCTGGGTGGGCAGCTGAACGTGACAGGTAAGGAGGAAGGCAGACATGGGATCCCACCAGGGAATTACCTGCCTGCAGGTAATTCTATGTGTGGGGCTTCAGTCCTGGGAGCATATCGGATGAGCACACAGTTAAAGGGTTGGAGAGAGGGGGATTCCCAAAAGGTCTGGTTGATCCTGCAGTGGCTGTAGTGTAAGGTTGTGGCTTGTCCTAAGGTAGCAGCTGTGTCTCTCTGGAGGGGTTGCAGGTGGATTGGGGTTGGCTGGGAGCCAGGCTACTCTTCCTCAGCCTCTGTGGATCCCACATGAGTGCAGTGGCTCCATTCTGGCAACAGGCAACAGCACCAAACCCTGTGCATTCAGCAGGCGGGGTTGCACTAGGCCATCCCTGCCCAGCAAAGGCAGGATATATCTGCAGAAAGCAAATTACAGGAGCAATGAGCCATACTGGAAGTCTCCACTGTCATGGGAGGCCCTTCTGTGGGTTGGGGCTACTGCCTTAGGGGAGCTACCAGGGGCTGGTGACACTATTGTCCTGCTCACAGTGTTGTTGGTCCCAGTGTTCAAAATCAGAGACAAACCTCTCAGAAAATTAGGTCTTGGAGTCCATTTTGAAAGGAGAGCAGGAGTTATTTGCCTTTAGGATTTGAGATCTTATTGTTCCCCCTTTCATGTATGTTTCTCTCTCTCCTGGAAAACTACAAATGGTCAGGAGAAAAAAGCATTTTGGTATGCAAACTGGAGCTGCTGCATCATCCCATGACTTCAGTAGCAGGTTTAAGGAAAACACAGAGTGTACAAGGCTTCTGAGGAAACTGCAGCTGCCAGCAACGTAGAAAACTTTTCATGGAAGAACTACAGCCAAAGGCTCAGCTTACTATGTCCCTGGAAAGCCAGGGGCTGTGAGCTCTGCCTTTGCCCTGGCTCTCTTCCATCTTGGACAAGTGCACCTTGTAGCTTTCCTGTGCAGAGATTTGTTTTGTCCTACATTTGTTATTTAGGAGCATTGCCACTAAAAAACTGCCCTATTCCACCCCAGAGGTAGCTGCAAGGCAGTGCTGGGTGGAGTGATGGCTGAGTTAATGTTTGCTGGGCTCTCTGAGGACATTGTGGATGTGACCTCAAAAGGAGCTTTAGGCAGTTTCTGCTGTGGATTGCATAAGGTTGCAGTTAAGGGGGAAACTGATAGTGGGGGTTGGTAGATATTGAAGTGGTGAAGAGTGTAATGAGGTTGGGATGGTGCTTGTGATCTGCTGACTTGTATCCACAAAGGTTGCACAAGGTTGCTGAGAAGACCCACACGCAGCCCTGACTGACCTGAAAATGTGACTGCTGGTGCTGGCTTTGTGAGAGGTTAAGATATACTGAGGGTTTCTCTGT